GATGCATGGTGCTGATTATCATCAGGCTGATGATGATGATGAACATGATGAGGAACATGATGATGATCATGATGAAAATGATGATCATGATGAAAATGATGATGATGATGATGATGATGATGATGATGATGATGATGAACATGATGATGAAATTATGTTCATCATCAAAACCGTGGCGCTCTTCTTTTTCATTTACGTTTCAAGTGTGCCGTTAGACCCGACTGGAAGTGCAGAGGATGCGTTGTGATGATTGTCATGATAACTGCTGCACACTTCGCATCCACAGCAATACATCGAAGTCTTGAGAAGAAAAAAACGACCCCCAACATGGTGGTGCTGCCCGAGTTTTCACGCACCCGGGGCACTTCTTTTAAAATTCAACAAGGTGCTTATTGTCATGCGAATTTATCCCGCAGTGGCTTGTTTGAGATGCAGGGAATGCGTCGTCATAATTATCAGAACAACTGCTGGTGATGCTAAAAATGCAAAGCAACAATTATCATCATAACTGCTGGCGATATGGCGAGTGCATGGTAATAATTATCAGCATCCCTTATGTTGGGTAAAACAATGCATCATCAAAAACATCATCCTTGTCGTGCTGCTCTTCTTTTTCATATATGCTTTAAGTGTGCCGTTAATTGTCATAATTGTCATAACAACGTGCACTGTCAGCAAGCAGGGGCCGGCGGCACAGGGCGGCAGCCCTTGAATATGTTGTTGTTGCTTCAAAAGAGGAATGGAGTGGGGTATCTGTTGCACGTCGAATGGACAAACCAACCAAAAATCAGGTATGGGAATTCCAAGCTCGACATGCAAGCCAAGAAAAAACGGTCTTTTTTCCCCCAAAAAAAGAGCTCCCTCCAAACCATGGGGTTGCCCCCAGACCGCCTGGGAAGCGGTAAAGCTTCGCATCACTTTAGCAAGGCTTACATCAAGCTTTCAGAAGCTCACGCACCGGCAGGACCCAAAAGGAGCAGCAAAGAACACTCAAACACCCCCCGAAGTTCAGGAACCCCAGATTCAGCTCCTGTGTCGCCTCATGTTTTTAGTTGGACTGCAACTCGGCTGGTTGTTTTAAGAATTGCCTCAAACCATCGAAGAAACTGCCTCAAGCGTACACCCGGCGAAAGCTTTCCTCTTTGGAGTTGGGCACCTTCCCTTTGGACCCCCACCCGAGGGTTGAGCGACTAAGAATCTGGTCCGTGGATCACATTTGGTCACCAGAGCCACGGCGGGAGGGGGGAGAAAATGATTGGCCTCAAACAGCTCAAACATTGCCTCAACAAATTCACACACAGACTCAAACCCGAAAAACAACTGTAGTTACTACAACGGCCTTAGATAGAGCCTCAAACATCTCAAACGGCCTCAAGACCATCAAATATAGACTCGCGCGCCTAGAGAAAGCCCTGGACATCTCAAACGCCTTAAGCAGAGCCTCAAACATAGGCTCAATCCAAGACTCAAACACCTAAAAAGTTGCCAATGTCCAAAATCATAGCCCTCTTGCTTAAGTCCGCTGGCAAACTGTACATATTTCCCGTGGTGACAGATTCCGTTTATAAGCACCAGGGGAAAAAGCCCTCCGAGGGCCCCCGCTTCAACTCCTTCGTCGGTCTGGCGCGGGCTTCGCAATCCGGTGACGAAGGGCTTCTCGATTCCAATGGAGGGTCCAATGCTTAGGGTTAAACGCATAGGTGGCCTTTTGGAAAAATAGATGGCCCTGGTAAATGGAAGAAACTTCACCTAAACCAGTGCCATCTAATTCTAATCAAACTAACCTAAAAAGGACACCTATGGTTGAACGCCAAAACTGGGGGGTTTCCTTTGGGTCCAATATTACACGTGTGGGCGCGCTAACCAGGCGGATTGTCAGGGGTCCCTATGTTTCTTTGGAAGGGTGGTCTTAAATATCACTTCTTGGGCCAAATTAAATTAAGCTTTGGTGGATGTGTTCAAGTTGGAAATATCGGGAACCCTGCAATGACTTCCCCTGAAAAAGCCATCTTCCCCACGACAACATGGAGGGCACTCGCAGCACGCTTGGCTCACACATGAGCCAATATCTCGGTAAGATAAAATTGTTCACCAACCGCCGCTGGGATGGTGGCAAATCCCTTTGTGAGGTTGCCCAAGACGGGTTGCACATTTTTTTGCCGGTGGTGTTCGGTGGGCGTTGTTTGTTTGCCGGTGCCAGTGATGCTGCACATGTGAGGTAGCAATGCTTGTGGATGTCAGTGGCGACGCCCAAGTGTAGTTCATTCCTCCCGACGAAGATAGACGAACCAAAAAGCTTAGTCCAAAGAGATTGATCGAGCCGATCCATTTTGCTTTCCCCATTTTCCTGTGGGACTGAACTCGTCTTGGCCTCCGGGCTGGTTCAATTCAACTGGTGGTTCAAGAGGAAAGTCGTCTTTCTACAGGGGCCTTGTTGCACTTCCATGTTGGCTGGTGGGAGGGTATTCCTTGGAATATGGCTTCTCGAGGTGCGATCGAAATCGATGTTCCACTTTTGGCAGCTGCATGGTTGCCAGACTCCCAGCTTGACGCCGAGTCTTTGGTTTGGTCGATAGTGTTTTTGGTGCGCAAGCAGTGCTCCCCAACCAATATTTGTCACAGAACTTTTCCTTATCCCCAACTCCGCCTTCACCAATCCCTATTTTTTCATCTATTTTGGTCTTTCCAGACAAGGCGTGTTTCGGGGCTGTCTGGGTGTCTTGGGGGGTTCTCCAGAAAGTCCTTTCCCCAGGCCAAAGGGTGCTCATTGCAGTTGCTGCGTTCGTCGCACGCTTCGAGGGGGCGCGGAGTTCCCCAGTTGCACACCGGGCGGGTCCCTGGTGAAAGGTGAAGCCAGCCGACGATCCCAAAAACCACCACCCTGCAGATCCCGAACACTGGCCCGCCACCCGGACGGCAAAGAGACCTGGTCAAATGCAGTCCCAATATGACCCTGCTTGTCATGGTTTTACACATTTTGGAACACAGGGAACTGGAGGGCGAAAAAATATTCATGCGTTCATTAGGAAGGTTGTTCTTCAACTCAAAGTGTTGTGCAGTTCTCTTGGAGGTATCACGCTGAGTGAATCAATAATGCTAATTCACTGCACTGCCAAAAGAAATGGACCTTTAAGAGGGGAACCTTCATCATGAAATCGCAAACAAAAGTGTCGCGAAACTATGTGAACAGTTGTATTCCTTTTGCATTCGGGGGCATGGCCATCCAAAAAACCTCTACCATATCCCGTCCTGAGTGAACTGGCCGACAAATTCCCAAAACATATCTTCGTTTGCCAATTGAGAGGGTGGGCTGAGTATCTCCGAAAGAAGCATACCAGACAGCATTAAGTTAGGTTAACTCCGAGGGGCGGATCTCCAAACGAAGCAGACACCTCACCCAGACCCAGACCCAACTCCGCGCCTCACGGAGACCTTCGCCTGGCGTTTTGTTTTTTCTTCGGCGAAACGGAGAAACGGACCTTAAGGTCAGTTGTTCAGTGACCAACTGGAAAACAAGTTGGAACCCTTTGTTGGGGCCTGGACCATTTTCAGTGGGGCTGAGCCACTGAACTGAGTTAAGGCTGACCCGGGTCTCGTGCTTTTGAGGGGTTTCCCGGACGTCCGCCGACTCCGCGGTTCCTGAGGGCAGTGAAACGTACGACCCACTTCTTAGGGTCATTCCCCAATTAAGCGCCCGCCAAGAGGAAACTCAATTGAAACGGTCTTCACGCGTGATGCTTCAAACAACAAGGGGACCTGAACAAAAACGATTCCATTGTGTGCATGTACCTCTCATGTTGGATCAAGCAGCTCCTTTCAAATATTCTGTTCTGTACGGCATGCCTTCGGGAAGAATGTTGAGCACAGGTGCTTCTTCAAGTTGGGGACTTTTTGGGTCGAGGGACCTCAACATAAGTTGATTGTTCCTGGCTCCTTATCTCCCGCAATATCGATTTCCAGCTGTCTGAGGACTGGCCCTTGTCGCAAACAAGAATGCCCAACATGCGAGAGATGCCGGTGGAAGGCAGCAAAACTCACACTGTCGCACCACGTTTGCGGTCTGACGAGAGCGGTACAGGAGGGAAGTTCGCGGCAAGTTTTCAAAAGATTCAAAGCTGTGCAGCCACACAGCAACAAATAAGAGCTCGAGACTTTGACCAGGTTTTGGACCAGTCAGTCTCCTTCAAGCGCACACAAGAGATCTGGAACATCTGGAGACCCCTGGAAAGGAAGCTGGCAATTCTTTCTCCAGGGGGCGGGTTCCGAAAGCTCGCTCCAGACTCACTGGAGTGGGGTGGGGGAACCACCTTACTCGTTTGGGAAAGCTAAACTTCTAGTGGGCTATGACATAAACCCCAAATATTACACCCTAAAATCTCAAAAAAAAAACATCTCTTTTCGGGCAACAACAATGCATGAACCGAAACCAAACAACCGCGTCCTCGCCTGCTCGACCGGAGCACGCCTGGCGCTTGCCGCGGATAAAGACTTCCTCAAACCGGACCAATTCCCCACATAATACGGAGCAGCTGACTCGCAAGATCATCCTCCAAATCAGATGGCAAATGTGGCTTTCAACATGGCCAACATGATTCCTTCTGACAACCCTGGCAAAAGGAAGCGATTCGCAAATGATGGTTGTTTCTGTGCCATTGAGAGCACCATTATCTCGGAAGGATCATTGCTACCAGGTGGATTGGATGACCATCTGTTAACCAAGTAAGGCTTCTTTTGACTGGAGCCATTCGTGAAATGAGGGAGACTGGCGCTCTCTGGTGATGCCAGCCTCCATATCACTCTATTTTCATGACATAGCAGTGGTGCTACAGGCCTTGCCAGAAGATAGAGAGGATCCAGGATCCTCTCCTTCAAAGAGAAAGGAGGGATATTGTACCAAAACAAAGCGTTTGGCACAAGGGCTGCCAAGAGGTGAGGGTTTTATGCGGCTTCTCGTGCGATGATACGTTGACAGCAGCCCAGGTGCCTGTAGCGCCCAGGAACGCTCTCAGGAATGTAGCAAAAGTAAGGCTGTGAAGATTTGATCTAAAGCACAGCTTGCCGAAGGCAGGATCAAATGGCGGCCTGGGCAACAAATTGTCCTTGCTACTGATCGAAAGCCAGCGGCTCACCAAAGCCGAAGGAAACCCCGCGCGAACAGCCATCGTTCCCGCCTGAAAACCGGCGACTCCTCGCGTCCGCCTAAGCCTCAGTTTGCAGGGAACGGCGGAACCGCAATGCGGCCTAGTGACTAGTGGTGCCTCGCTGCTGCTCATTTTGGGCGGGAGGGGGACTCACTTCAGGGTTTGCAGAGGTTATTTGTTGGCTCTCAGGGAATAAGGGAATGACCCGAATCGACTGAACTATCTAACTAGTTTTTCCTAGATTCCATGAGTCCAAAACCCCAAGACGACATTCCGCTCAGAAAGGCTTTCCGCATGTTCCTTGCACCCATTCGCCCCTCAAACACTAGTCGCCACAATTTGGATTCATCCAAATGTTCATCTGGCCGCAGGCTCCGGAAACTATGAAAGAGAGTAGCCGCAAAAACTTCCTGGGCTCCTCACTTCTTGACAAAAACACCTCGTTGCCACGAGAATGGTCTCGACCCACATTTCAAGTCCTGGAACTTGGAGAATGAGTAGTCACACAACTTGGTTCCCACTAGCCCAGACAAAGCTACTGTGGATGAACCAATTCCGCGCCGGGCCCTAGTTGGTAGGTGTTTATACCAGTGCCCATGAATGTTGAAAAGAGGGACCAGATTTAGTCGTAATCAGTCAGCCCCTTTTCATTACGCATGGGGACTTTATCCATGTCGAAATTCATCCACCGGCGCGCCTGATGTCTGTGACAGCAGCGGCCGGCGCAACGCCTGTGCCTGACTCGCAGGATCTCGTTTGCGATCCATCTGCCTCTCTGTACCGATCTATCTATCCATCCCATCTATCTATAAACTAACCTATTCCAATCCAAGCCAACCTGATCTTCCTATCTGTTCTAACCTAAACTAAACTAACCGAATCTAACCTAACCCACGCATCTGTCTATCTATCTACCTACTTACCTATCTATTATACATCTATCCATCTAATCCAATCGATCTATCTATTCTAATCTAATCTAATCCAACTGATCAGTCTACCTATCAATTAGTCAATCAACCTATTTAGCTGCCCATCTGGCGTCCCATCTTTCAATTTATCTCTCTCCCCCTCCCTCTCTTCCTCTCTTCCTCTCTTCCTCTCTTCCTCTCTTCCTCTCTCCCTCTCTCCCTCTCTCCCTCTCTCCCTCTCTCCCTCTCTCCCTCTCTCCCTCTCTCCCTCGCTCCCTCTTTCCCTCTCTCTCGCCCTCTATCCCTCTTTGCGTCTACCTAACTATCTATCTGTCGGTAAACCTATCTGTCTCTTGTTCTACCAATCTTCCTTTCCTTCTTTCCCTCCTTCTTTTGTCTGTCTTTCCTTGTCTATCTATATGTCAAGGTTTTGGTCTATCATTCAGATATCTACCTATAGCTCAATGTATCTCTCGCTATCTACCTATCTATCTATCTATCTTTCTATCTATCTATCTACCTATATGATTGTCTACCTAGCGATCTATCTATCTATCTATCTGTGTATCTGTGTATCTGTCTATCGGTCTATCTGTCTATCTGTCCATCTGTCTATCTGTCCATCTGCCTATCTGACTGCGACCGATTCTGGCTCGCCAAAACGCGCCGATTGTGCGACAGGCCAGCGAAAAAGGTCGCTCGCGCAAACAAATTGCACGCGCCTGCCAAGCAAGACACCTCAAAACGCCCACCCGTAAAACCCAAATCACAATGGCACGCAACGCAACCACGCACTGCGCTGCCTGAACAGCGAAACGACACGCACGGCCACAAAAGCTACGATTGGCCGACCGGCGCAACGAAAGTAACATGTTGCAAGTCATACAAATCGCGCATTCCGAGCATTCCCCAACGGCCTCCCCACATGTGAACGCTTGCGACTTCTTGCGGACGCTTGCAGATGCTTGCGGATGCGGCGCAGGCGAACTTTCTACAACGGGAACCCTTCTGCTATGCGTTTGGGAAGAAGCAGACAACACAACACACAACTTGAGCAACAGAAGCAGAAACCAAGCAAGCCAGATCAACACAATGCGAAACAACAAAGGCATGACAAGAATGACCAAATGTAGTTGTTGCCAAACAAACATCAAAAAAAGACAACTGACAAATCCTTGTGGCGCAGGTTCCCTACAAGCCGCATCGACAGTTCTCTCCGGGCGCCTGCTCCAGGTCCACGTCACAGCAGGCGGCCGAAGGTGAGCAACCGTTGGAGGGCGCCTTGGTTTCGGAGTTCGGTGGTGTTTTCAAGCTTTGATTTAAGGGGGGGTTAGGTTGGGACTTAAGGGGGGCGGTGTCTCTTTTCAGGGCGCCCCTTGTTTGGTGGTTTAAGGGGCGGTGGGGGAGCGGTGGGACTTTTTTGGGGGCTGGGAGGACAACCAAGAAAACACGGCTTTTGTTGCATAGATGTATCTCGAAGAGCGCGCCGCAAGGGGCTTTTCACTATGGCATAAAGGGCCAGGCCATTTTAGCGGAGTAAGATTGTGTGGGGTTCAAATGCCTGTAAAAACAAGCACAAAACAGACACAAATTTCTTGGATGAAATTGGCTTAGCCCTGTACGCCGTCGCCTTTCAAGCTGGATTCATTTAGATTCAATTTACCGAAGTGACTTTTGTGACGCGATCTGATTTGTTCGTCTGGCACCTGGGAAGTATATACAAGCGCAATGCATGTTGAAATCGAATTTACACACACGTGGTCGGAAAGTAAAAGAGGTACCTAGCTGCACCTAAAATGTCGCATCTTCTTTGGCTGACGCCTTTCGAAAGTCAAGGACAGGGTTGTCCGATGTCAAACTATCCATTCTCTCACTGCATGAAAATAGTCTTTTAGACGATGGGAGTCTTGTCGTCGTGAGGTCAGTGGAAAAGACTCCGTCAGTCGGGCATATCGTGCCGCTTTTTTGGTGTGTCGAATATGGGTTCCGCGCTTGCATGGGGAGGTTGATTTTGCACTTTCAGTGTCGCCACTTCTTGTCCTGGCAGCTGCTGCCCAATGCGGTTCCAGAACCGTCTAAATATTGGTGATCTTGGTTCTGCCATCCGCAATAGTCGTTGACCTTGTTGTAGTGCTTCTTCTGGTCCCTAGAAAACCAAGTGTTCTTCTCCTGAAGGAAGTATTTCTTCAGCGTTTTCTTGCAGTAGTTGACTCCTTCGGCGGGATCCTGAAGAAACTCGTTGTCGAGGAGCCCCCCAGACATGTAAATAAGCATCTCCCATGAGTCTGCTCTTGAGGCGAGGTCCTCTCTTGGATACCTCAATCGTGATGAATGTTGTCCAATAATGCACAAGTTCCTCACACCTGAACTGGCTGACTTTTCCGTCGTACAACGGCTGTTTGGCGGCCATCGAAAAATTGAGGGCTTTATTCGGCGATGCCGACTGATCGGCCTGCGCAAAATGGCCTCCATGAAGCCTTCTCCGTCGGATGAGATTTGGATCTGCTCCGCTACCACCATTGAGTCCCAAACCTGGGGAAGTGTCCACTATGGTAACGGTGCTCTGTGTGGCCCTGGATCTATTTCGGTAGGACCCTGTTGGCGTACACCGAATGGATGTATTCACCTATGGATGTCCCTGGTGAATACTCTTGTAGATACTATGTATCTCGAAGAGCGCGCCGCAAGGGGCTTTTCACTATGGCATAAGCGAGTGAAAACCAGAATGGCCCTTTGGGTCAATGTAGCGGAGCAAGGTTGTGTGGGGTGCAATGCCCGTAAAACACACACACACACACCCACGCACACACACAAACACACAAACACACAAACACACACACACACACACACACACACACACACACACACACACACACACACACACACACACACACACGCACACACGCACACGCACACAGGCACAGGCAGGCAGGCAGGCACGCAGGCACGCAGGCACAGGCACGCACGCACGCAGGCACGCAGGCACGCAGGCACGCAGGCACGCAGGCACGCAGGCACGCAGGCACGCAGGCACGCAGGCACGCAGGCACGCAGGCACGCAGCAGGCACGCAGGCACGCAGGCACGCAGCAGGCACGCAGGCACGCAGGCACGCACGCAGGCACGCAGGCACGCAGGCACGCAGGCACGCAGGCACGCAGGCACGCAGGCACGCAGGCAGGCAGGCACGCAGGCTGGCAGGCAGGAACGCAGACACGCTCACCAGCAGGCACCAGCACGGACGCACCACACACACACACACATACACCACACACAACAACACCACACCACATACACACACACACCACACACACACAACACACACACACACAACACCTCACACACACACACACCCACCACACACACACCCACACGCACGCACGCACGCACGCACGCACGCACGCACGCACGCACGCACGCACGCACGCACGCACGCACGCACGCACGCACGCACACACCCACACACACACACACACCACACACCACACACCACACACCACACACCACACACCACACACCACACACCACACACCACACATCACACATCACGCATCACACATCACGCATCACGCATCACGCATCACGCATCACGCATCACGCATCACGCATCACGCATCACACATCACGCATCACACATCACACATCACACATCACACACATCACACATCACACGTCACACGTCACACATCACACGTCACACGTCACACACACATGACACACACACACACACATCACACGTCACACGCCACACGTCACACGTCACACGTCACACACATCACACACACACACACACACCGCCCCCACAACCCTCGAGCAAACAACAACCTCTCCTGTCAAACCAGACCAACATACCATTCGATGAATGAGGCTTGCTCGCCAAAATCCCATGTCATGGGGGAGCACAATGAATATTGACTGTGGCTCCTCTCTTCCTTTGGGGAACCTGCAAAACCGGGGGAGAGTTTGGGTTCCATACTTCGGATGGCAAAATCCAGCACCAGTTGAATGGAACTCGCTGTGAAGACTGAGTCACCTACCTGGTGCCGATTGGATTCCCTAGAGGAGAATTTGGGCTCGATAGGCGAACCTCCATATGGGGTGTCTTGTTGTCTACCTTGAGGGGTGGGTTCCCCCCGCCCCCCACACTTCCACCTCCGGACTGCCACAGCCAAAGCACATAGCCGCTCCGCACATCCTCGACACTGTCCGAAGGCCCGGACTAGTCACGACCAAGCGAAATAGTAACTTGTTGCTCCCCATCCCCAAAAAGCGAAACCCAGGCAAGCCCTTCATGGGCAGCTTGTACGAGATCACCTAGACTTTCAGATCCGTGGATTTTGTATCCACTGACCAACAACCACCCTCTCCGAAATTTCTCTCTCAAGCAACTGGCCAAAAACCGAGTTCCGCCATCATCTAACTCGTCAGCCTTAGACCTCAGGGTGGCAGGAAAGACGTCACCGACCTGAGTCATGGAGAATGGCTTCCGGGATACCCTTTGTGAAAGTTGCCACAGATGTCCGCGGGTTTGGACCCTTTAACGCATCAAGCAAAGTACACAGTCCAGCTTGCAACCCCGAAATGCAAGGACAACCCAAATTCTCCATATCTCAAACCACACCAACAAACCGAACCGAACTGAAGGGAGAAGCCATTTCGCGCCAGTATGGACAAAAATTATAAAACTTCTTGGTTTAAGCCACCAATCCCAACTGGCGCCTAGAAAAATACTGGCGTAAACCGCAAATGCTTGCTGTGGGTATGGCCACTTCTGGTCGAACCCATGACTCGCTCTCCTCCACCTCTTGGGGCAGCAGGTACGAGCACTTCTGGCTGAGCGCCTGGCATCGAATTCAACTTGGGCACTGGTGGAGCGAACTTTCTTCGGCCGGGCGGAGGTGTTTTTGTTTCTGGATGTTTCCCCGTTTTTCCTTAGGCGAGCGGAAGCAACCACTGGGTTCAAGTGTCTAGTCGATCAATACATCCCCCCCCTTTCTAAGGGTCACGGCTCTTGGGCTCAAAGGGGAGCCCCTCTCAAAGGACCTGGTAACAAAAAGAGCTGAACCGGTGTTTGTTCTTCGGCTTCTTTTTCTCGCGCAGTTTGTTGGGAAAACCTGGCTATTCAAGACAACACCTCTTGCGCCGTTTTACTTTGAACCAGTTGAAAAAGGGGCAGCTGAACGATTCGGCGAGGTGGTCAGCGCAACCCTCGTCTCGTTTTTGCAAAATGAGGGGGGGGGGGGGGGAATGACTGGTTTCTTGCTTGTTTGCCTTGTCAACCCAACAAATTAGCAAGGTATCTCCTTACCAAAAGGCATACCCAGATCTAGGTGGTCCCCAACCCTCCAACAAATCCGCCCCTCGCGACCTGGTTGAAGGCCAAGCTCTGCCGCAGCGCCGCGGACTGCAGGCCCAGCAGCTCCTCAAAGCCTCGGCTGCAGAGCCGACCTTTTCAAAGTTCGGGGAAGGTGGGGTTTCATGGGTCCTTCATGGGTCCTTCATGGGTCCTTCATGGGTCCTTCATGGGTCCTTCATGGGTCCTTCATGGGTCCTTCATGGGTCCTTCATGGGTCCTTCATGGGTCCTTCATGGGTCCTTCATGGGTCCTTCATGGGTCTTTCATGGGTTTTCATGGGCTTTCATGGGTCCTTCATGGGCTTTTTGTTCATGGGTTTTCATGGGTTTTCATTGGTTTTCATGGGGCTCCTTTTGGCGGGATCTACACGCTTGGATGCCACGTCCAATCTTTTTTGTCGGGTTTTGCCAGGCAGAGAGTCAGTGCTGGAACCCTTGCAAGTGCGCCAGCAGTTGAGGGATCCTCAAACTTACTTTCGGCTTCTCTTTACACCCATTTGGCCCCTTTCTAGAGCAAACTGGCCTGCATTGTGACTTCCACTGAGTTGTTCCATTGTGACTTCCACAAACATTGCAACAAAACAAATGCTACTTGGATTTAAAGACCAAGTCATGAGTTGGCACAAAGACAAAAAAAAATATCTCAAGGGCTACAAGGGACTTAGCTCCTGCCCCCAACCCAAAACTTGTCCTTCAATTCTGGTCCAAATTCAGGAAACCTCAAAATGCACACTTGTGTGTTTATGAGTGTTTTTTTCCCAGGCGGTGGGAAGCTTCCTGCTCTTGAGAAGACTTCGGAACTTTGGCCCTAGGGAGTCGCTCTTCAGTCCTTGAAGGAGCCAACGAAGCTTTTCAGAACCCGACGCAATTTCGACAGGTCCAATTCGATCTGACTCCATAGGGATTCGGAGCGAAGCGCTCCGCTTCTTTGTGATTTTTCAAATGGGCCAGGCGAAAACTGAGCCTAGGTTCAACATGATCCGAATCTCTAGCCGCACCTTCCCCATTCTTGAGGGACCCTTGTCTTCAGAAAATGGTTCAAACTCCCAGGGAAAGTGGGGGGTGTCTAAAGACGACAACGGATGAAAAGCACGGAGAATCAATTCTTGCAAGCATCCCGGCACTTGTTTTTTCTTATGTGCCAAATCGCAATGTCCCAAGAAGCCATCCTTTAAGGGCGAAGGGAAAAAGCGGCACCTAAAAAGGGTGGCAGCAAGTCGTCCCCCAATCCTGAGAAGCTATTGATTTCATGGTTCCGCTGGGGATTGGCTGATAGGATGACCAGCATTTGGTAAGTTCAGAACCAAATGGGACACAGGTGCCCTGGTAACCCCGCACGACCTACGGGAGTCACTAGCTGGGACGAAAAAACAAACTTAGTGGGCCGGTCATCCAGGGAGGTCCCGTAGATGAGGACTTCCTGAAAGCCGTCTGAGAGGTTTCCACTTAACTTGCTGGTTCGGGGGCAGGGAATGAGAAATGGAATGCCCGCAATAAACCATCCAACTGGTGGTTTCCTTAAATAGTTCATCCCCAAATCCCGGAAGGCCATGCCCTGCCTATCGCACCAGCAAGTTTAAAGGATGGGAGTTACACGCCCCAGGGCGTCGCTTACTGGTCGCTTGCTCACCCAAGGAGCTTCGGCTCGCCGAGGGCAAAGTGGCCATGACGAGCACAAAGCGCAAGGGTTGTTCAAATGTCCGGTTCAATGGACCCGGGTACAGCCTGAGAGTCGTGTTTTCTTAGGGGCGAAAAAAAAGCAAAGACAAAAGACACCACCTTGAGGCATGCAAATTTGGGATGCTCCTTGCCGAGGTTGGGTTTGAGTTTGTTTCCTTGGTGGCCTTCAGATTCCGTCACCCAAGAGAAGCTATCGAACAACCCCCGGAGCGGCGCAATATTCTCCGTGTCGCACAAAGAGCTGGCGGTTGTGCGATGGGTGTGCTCTTCGCGGCGCGCTTCGTGACATCCTCACAACTGCCCTGGTGCTTTGAAGGAAAACACTCCACAAGTAACAAGAAATGCGGGGCTTCCATGTCAAAAGACCCCAGCGGTGCTTGTCGCTGGGTTCGCCACGTGAAAAACATGCGCCGAAGCCGTGAGAGATCACGATCGGATCTCAGAGCCCGCTGCGGACGTGGAAAGCAACTAGCCACGAGGCAGGCTGGGGCGAACTGGAACCCTAACCTCTCCCGATCGTCGAAGCAAAGGACAATTTGAGCAGAATTGGAAGCACGGACCTGAAAGCAAGGAACTGGAAGCAAAGAAAGACTGCAGCCCTTCGTTTTCAGGTCCGCCAATCGGTCTCCGTTTGATGTCACGGTGAAGTCTTGTAAGGAAGGTTAAGGTTGGACTATGTCTTGGATTACTTGTGGTCATGTAATGCCCTAAACAGCAAGCACCATTGAAGTTAAAAGCCAGGTTCAAGTGCCAGAAAAAAAACTTTGAGCAAGTGAAGAAATGAGCGTTGTTTCTTTTGGGACCCTTTGGCGGACGTCATTTACACGGGGCGTCATGTCCGCCGAGAGGTAGTCCCTTCTTCCAAATCATAGCCATACTTCCCCCTGACATCTCGCGCGGAGGAGAAAAACTACTCACCAAATCGAAAAGTGAGGTTTCAAACCGCCAAGGGGAACATGGGGAATCCTGACACAGGAACCCCAAGTTGGATTCCTTCTGGTTTCTTTCTGGATATGGTCCAGCGCCCACACACACACACACACCCAACAAGGCATGCTTGGGGTACTTTTTACAACGCAATAAGGAGACCTAGAGACGTAGAGACCTAGGGACTTTCGTGGGTTTGAGCTCCTTCCCCCTCGTTCCCCCGGAAAAAAGGCTGGAAAGCCTTATTTGAGCCAAGAATGAGCTTCCTCGACAGAACATGGGAAAATTAGTAAGTCCCCCTAGACTTTGTGGGAATCACCGTGCAATTTGTGGGTTGATGGGCTTCGGTTTCTCGAATTTTTACTTTTTCATTCCCCACCCCCCACCCCCGCCGCAACCCCACCCCCGCCCCAACCCCACCTCCCCCCCCCCCCGCCGCAAACGAAACAAAAGAAGAAAAACAACAACATGGCCGGCTTTCCTAACAGGTATCGTGTTCTTCACTTCCCCACATCGTTTTTGAGGAAGTGGCTGCAAGTGAGGAGATGTCCTTCCAAGGTCAAAAGGTGGCATTGCGTCTTCAGTACAGTAAATTGTCGACCGCTGCTCAAGTCCGGAAGCCTCGGTGAAACGTTCAACGGCGAAGCAACCACCCTCTTTCCAATCATGAAGTGGGCAAGGGAGGTTTGGAAGACTAGTGTCTTCTTGAAAAGACTTCCCATGGTTGTTGGAAAAAGGCGTCCACCTCAAACCGCGTCAAACATTCCCCTCCGAACTGACCAGGAGTGTTTGACCCCTTTCCAGCGGGGAAGTGATGCCCCGGTTTTGGTCAGGTTTACTGTAGAAAATCAGCAGTTCCATGTACATACCTCCTGTTTAATCACGCGCTGGCATTATCCGGAAAAAAGTTGGTGGGTGGAGTCGGGGGCATCTACATTTGGCAAGGTTAGCTGACAAACATCGCCAAATGCGGGCAGCCTTTGCTTG